ACAGCGACGAAAGAGATTCAGAGCGCCTGTCTTGGTCCACGAGAAGATCTGATTACAAAGTATCGTACTGAACATTGCCTTGTATCAACGCACCTTCCTCAGGATATCTGCTGAAACGAGACCAATTTTGGTTCTGGACAGTGGTTCTTCAGTCATTGGTACTTCCGTTGATGCCATATCCAACATCGCCGCACAGCGTCTGCCGAGCACCTCTAGCAAACGCTCTCTGGTTCCTTCAGGGTAGGCGAAGACCGGAAAGACCAGGTTCTTGTTCTGTACGCAGAATTCGTACCCGAGCGTTGACCAGTGCCTGCTGTGGAGAGTCTGGGGTGTGATGATCGGTACGACCATCCTGACGTTCCGTTGGAGAAGATGGTGCAGGAGTTTGTCTGTGATGATTTCTCCTGGTTCGATGACGTCTTCAGACACTGTTACACCGTACCTGCTGGACGATTGGGCTGCCTGTTTCAACAGTGGCTGGGTGAGCTTGTCATTGTAATCTCCGGTGTGTAGGAGAACAATTTCGTTCCCTGGGAATAAATGTGAACATTAAAATTCTAATGCATGAACAAAGTGTCAGACAAACAAGCTGTTAAAAAGGACAAAGCATCATGGAAGGAGGAAAATAAATCAGAGGCTTCAAACTACTGCCAGGGAAGACGTACCTCTCTCTTCCCTGGGGAACATGGGTGCTCTCTCAGGCAGACAAACGTCCAAGGACGCTCCCAGCAAGCGACGGCACATGTCTCCGGCCCTGTTGACGTTGGCAACCAACTCTTTGAACCTGCTGACGGATGTGAGCTCGTGTCTGATCCGATCACACTGCGCCAGACTCAGCCCTCTGCAGGTCTCCATACAGTCCAGGACAGGACCGATCGTGTGGACTGCGTCTGGGTTCAGCGTGGGCTCTATCATCACGGGTCCGGAACCACCTGAGTTTTCTGCATGTATAACATGTTTTATCAGTAACGATTTAAAACACTACTTCAAGAGATGAACTACACAAAATCAGACATCTGAATGTTTTTACCTGCACAGAACGTTGTCGTATCATTTCTGCCACGTATCCAGACATTGATGAAGTCTTCTGGAAAACTGAGATAAAAACTATCAGTCACACATGGCTTACTGGCAGTGCAATGTTAGGGACATACAAGACATGTAAATACCTTGTGTGTTTCCATAAAAACGTGCAAGAAGAATGCTATGCTTATCAAATGAAATGGTTTGATTCACTGAAAAATTGAAAATATAACTGGTCTCACCGACTGGATCCCGTTGCCGTTTCTTGCCCGATGTCAGACAGTGGGTAGAATACTGGTGTTCCTGTTCCTTTTTCTGACTCCTCCCCAAAGCACCAGTCATACTGGATGGACGGGATCCACTTCTCCTTGATCTCAAAGAGACAACTGCTGAGGAACTTTCTAATAGGAAGGGCCTGTGTGAATACTGGCTGATCTTCAGCTTCAGCCGACAGAAGCTCCACCTTCAGGTAGTGCTTCACTTTGGTTACCACGAACTGTTGCTTTACATCGTCGGTAGGGAAGCGGCCGCAGCCGGCGAACACGTGGGACTCTTGAAGACCGAACCTGCGCACACAAATGGCTTGTAGACGATAGAACATGCCACTTGGGAGGAACATGTTGTCGAATACGACATACAGAGGATGCCGGTATCTTCTCATGTGCCCAGGATACAAGGTGCTGTCGTCAGGCTTTGTGGCCAGGAGAGATGGTACGAAGTAGATCTCTTCTTTCTCAGGATCACCCGAAGTGTCATCAAACTCACCGATCGGCGTGACGTTGCAGAGTAGGTAGTACTTTTCCATCAGTCTCTTCAGGAAGTACTTGTGCCGCAGTAGAAAGGGTTTCTGCATCTTCTGATCTGCTTTGGTCCAGATGATTGTCAACAACCTGTCACTGAGGATGCCTTCCGTCTCCAGCCTCCTCCACATCTCGGCAACCTCCCCATCCGTGCTCCTGTCCTGTTGGTACTCCGGGACGGTGATGATGGTCTTGAAGACGTCAATCATCACCTGGGGTCGAAGGGCCACGTGATCACGGAGAACAGGTTCGTTGATGAAGATGATGTCACCAAGGTCGTGTAGGAAGGTCAAAATGTCGGCAACATGGCTGTCATCCGTGATGCCCACGTCATCACTCCGGGCCAGATCTACGACATCTTGGAAACGGCAGAATGGGTCGTCCTCTCTCCTCTTGTCCATCAGTTTGGACTTCAGATGAAGCCAAGTCATCGGCACCTCCTGACCCATGAACCACAGACCCTTCGCCACCTCACGGAGATATTCTCGGAGCTCGTCAATGTCGCTGTTGTCCTCGTTGAAGTTGTCGATGAAAAATATCTTAGGTAAGACGTGTTTACCGGCGGCCTTATCACTGATATGATCACGTACGTCTTTCTTGTACTCCTCAATGTCCGACTGAAATTAAGAGCACAAATTTATCTTAAGGACGTAAAGGTACTGTTGATCAATCCCAGAAAACAACCCAAGGCTGATCCTTTCGGCCATCGATATTAACTACACATTTTACGACAAAGACAAGCTCAACCACTATTCGTTAAGTTTAGAACATATCTAAAGATCTTCCATACCTCATCGACTCTGTCCTTGTGCGTGAGGACCAAAACGACACACGGCTCTCCTGTCTGCTCCCGCCCGTGCACCAGGGTGTGTGTGCGGACTGAGTGCAGCCAGTGGTCCAAGTAGTCTGGACAAGTAGAGACGTCTTATCATTTTTGTGTACGAAATTATCTTTGCCTTATTATTTCAGTTTTTCAAAGTTACATACGTTTATGTGATTTAAGTTCTTTTTCAGTTCTAATGTTCAAGCTTTAAAGGCGACAAATAGATGTTGCCACTCAAACCGACTGCATTGTCACAACTTACTAGGTTCACAGTTGAAGAAGCGGTACGTACCTCTTCCAGTTACGAGATTGTCCGCTGTCGCCTTGTAGTCCAGATCAGGAACAGGGTCGGACAGCTTCTGCAGCAGTGACATGACCAGGATGTAGATCCCGCGGTACGTGAAGAAGCACTGGTGCGAGCCGTAGTACGTGGCCTGGCCGCCGAAGTCCCAGAGGGAGATACGCGGGTGTTCGGCTGTTCCAAGCTGCTCCTCGGTCACGCCACCTTGGAGTCGCTCTTTGGCTTTTGTTATGACATCATCCGGTATGTCTTGTGTTTGCTGCAGAACCGTCACGTCACTCTAAGTCCCTTTTGAGCTTTTATATTGACATCATCCGGAATGTCTTGTGTTTGTCGTGACGTAGTCGTGACCACACTTTCCTCTCTCCCTGCAATGGAAGATGTAACAATTTTAATGTCATTCATTATTTTGCATCTTTTCTCTAGAGGCCAATTACTACACTTGCAAATAGTTTTAACTTGGTATCATTTACAACAAAGCACGGTCTAGCGTAACGCAACAAGTTCCTTTTTCTAAATCTTCTATAATGTCCATTTCTTTCTTGTGAAACATCTATTTCTTCACCTTCTTTCTCATCTTCTTCCTCCAGTTTTGGTGTCTGTTGACTTTGCGTCGGCGTCACGTTCTTCGGTTGTTTCTCCTGCTGCGTCCGCTTCCTTGTCCTTGTTCCTTTTTTGTGCTTTTTCTGCATCTTATATTAAGATAAAGTCAGATATCACTGTCCCTTCGTCTCTTTGTGTGTGTTTCTAGACACAAAACTTTAGCAATACGTAGATGATGACGCGTGAAAAAGATATAGGTGCCAATTCTCTTGTTTTGTGCATACATTTTAGATTAAAGAATAAAACCTTATGCTTTTAATTTTTTAAAAACATGAAAGTTTTTTAACCGTCGTTGTCCTGGCTGTGTGCGTTAACATTTTTGCCCTGTGCATCTGTATATTATGTCTATTTATATAATATACACATGTACATATTGATATATGTAAAAGTGATATTGGATACCTGCAGACTTTTTCCTGACTGCTCCTTGGGCTCCTGAAGATGTCCGGGTGCGTGGTTTGTCCCGTTCTTGTTGTTCTGCCAATCGTTCTGCCATGGTTTCCTTGAATTCGTCTGGCTCCTCTGTAAGCAATAGATGCCATGTACCGTATGATTCGTTGTTACAGCTGAAACCCTTTGGCAATTTTTATCTTAACTCTAATCTCCAAGCAGATCGTTTGGTGGGGGTAAGACAGTATCAAACTGTATCCATTTCCAAGGGTGGGGAAATGGATACAGACTGGCCAATTTGATACTGTCTTACCCCCACCAAAAGATCTGCTTGGAGATTACTTAACTCTACCTAGACCGGGGGGGGGGGCTAAAAGTGCCCGCGCCAACTTGAATGTCACCTAGCGTCTGGACAGCAAGTGCTAAAACGGCCAAACTGGGTGACTTTTCCGAGAATATTGTTGGCTTCAATTCTGTATCATTGGATTAAGATAATGATTTTTTGTGTTGCCATGGCAACGGGTTTCTGACAGGCATTTTTTGCTAAATTTAGTAATTTTTGTTTCAACAATAGAATTTTATAGGTTTTATGTCAAGTTACTCATGGTTTCTAATATTAATAACATCCCATATAATTTTATGTAAATTTTATCATTAAATATGCATAATTTATGCTAATTTGATGACGTCATTGGCCAAAATCCAAGATGGTGGACCATATCATTAGAACAGGTATTTACAGGTTATTTTCATTAAAATGTCATCAATACTTCCATTTCTTTTTCAAAAAAGGTCTAAATGAAGGTCTTTAGTATGTTTACAATGTATTTTAGGCCTTATCATGAAAAAAAAACATTTTTTGAAAATTCAAAATTGATGATCCAAGATGGCGGATATCTTAAATATGCCTGACGTCATTTTATGACGTCATTGGTGTTGCTATGGGCAACATAAGAGTACACCCTAATATTCTGTCATAAACACTTTTGGTAAAGTTATGTTGAATACCATTTAGTTTTCAGGGAGAAACCTATCTAGACGGTTTTGGCCAATGGAATCACATTAATGACGTCATAATGACATCATATTACGTCATAACGACATAAAAATTGTAGATATGATAAATTTTTCCTAGTACACCATCCTTTGAAAATTTGGTGGTCATACGACATACCGTTCGCGACTTCTGAGGGGGGGTCAAATGAGCCCCCAACCATGCCCAAAAAAGCCCGATCTAGTCAGGGTTAAACAAACATGGTATTCATGTTGTTGTTTTGTGATATGCTTTTTTGTACATGCAAAATGATCATGTATCATTGCATGACACGTACTTATGTGCCGAAACTATCTAAGTAGCAATAACTATAATGTCGTGCCAGGTGATAGAAATTAACATGTTTTTCGGACCTTTTGCCTTCCGCCAAGTCTTGGTCTTCACGCTGGGTGAAATCTCGATGCCGTCTGTTATCGGTTCATTCTCCACAGCCTTCTCTCCCGTCAGCCTCCTGACGACACACGTCTTCCCGGATCTGAACTGACCAACCACAAGACCGCGCACGCTGTGCACCGGTCGCGCCCCCTGGCGGCAGGCCTGGGAGTACAGCTGCTGCATTCCAGGACCCCGCAGCTGTATTTCGAGTGGAACACTGCTGTCTCCTGGATGAGAAGATTTTAACATTTTATCAGACATTTATAATATCATTCTTTTCGTACACTTACGTAAAGCCGACGTCTGATTAGATGGATAGAATGATCTACTGAGTAAGTATTTGTATTTCACAGCTTAAATAGTTGTGTTATACCTTCTTTTGTCGACATCCCTAAGTCTTCACGATGTCCCGTGATGTTCTCAGCCCCCATGTCGTCTGTGGGGAGGCTCTGCTTGCTGCCGCCCTTACTCCTACGATAGCTGCCGATGAAGTTCTGAAAAAGCATTACAAAGTGCAGTACTGTTAACCAAGATGATACAACGAAACGATGAATTACAATTAATTTGAGGCACAGAGTACGATTTTATAAGGCCAACACTCTAACGCACGAGTTACACCAACAATTCCAGCTAAAGCTCCTCACCTCAATAAGCACAAAACGATTTAACCTTTAGTAAGATACAACAGACTAAGCTCGAGGGATCAAGCGATCATTACAAAAACACACCTTCACTTAGTCTACAGTTTTCCCGCTCTGCTTAGCTGCTTCTTGTATCAACGGGTGATCCTTCTTCGCCTCAGTCATTCCTCTTTCTTCATAGAACCGGACGAGTACAGGATCGTAGCCTTTCTTATATGTGGAGACTTCCTGTAAACATGCACACGTGAAAGTGAGTTAAGTTTGGTGTAAGGGCGGTTATACAATCCTTTCTGAAACACTTCTAGTCACTGCAGTAGGCTAAAATTGGACATGTATAATTATACATATACATGTCTCTATAGATAGATCACATGGCTTCCAGCTAAATGTTTCTGCGAAATTCTGATGATAGTAATTATTTCTCTCCAACCTGCCAAGCAGAATACAAAATTTCAAATGCTAGCATGGGTACCAACTAAAAAAACTACTTTATATCATCTTCAACTTGTAGTTTAATATCAGCAGCAGTTGTTTGTGAACCGAAGTGTTTGACAAGAAATTTAGTCATGTCAATCATATTCTTTAGATATAATGCTTTATGATTTTGCATCACGTAAGGTTTGAAGCGACTCACATTATTCTGTTGTCGGAGAAGCTTCAGTATTTCCTTTCTACCACGAGTAATTCGGTCTTTCTCATCTTTGGGAAACAGAACAGCGTTACTGGTGTCCTCATCTGCAACGATGTCCGCCGTTCGACCATCCTAGGAATGAATATGCAGTGAATTATAGCCTTATGAATGTTGAAATTTTGGAAATAAACACGACTGAATGAGTAGACAATATGTATTATGTATCTAAAACATAATACTACACAATATACAGTAGGTACAGTAGCAAAACCCCTGTCTAGAAAGAAATTGGTTTGTAGGTGTTTATGTGATACTGCAATTTCAACTTGTTGAGGTTTCGTCGCAATGGTTTTTTAAGTGGTGGGTTGCTGGCCCTACGCACAACCTCGGCTTTATTTCTATACCGCCCATCGGGGACTGCGGCGGTGCAGGTGCTTTTAGCCAGCAAAAGCTCCACTGAGAACCGTCCCACCATGGTTGAACCTGCCAGGAACGGGGGGGGGGGCGTCACGGCGCTACGCCGATGGCTCACCAACCTGCTCCCGGTGGTATCGCAACCCAGGGTCATTGCTATGGCTGTTGCCCGGGGAATACCGCTAGGAGGTTAGCACTCTGACTTAAACCCCGATGTGATACGATGCAGGAATATCAGAACACATCGTGATTTGTGTGTTTCTTCCAACAACAGCTTCCTCCTTGCCTCGGACAGTAATGTGTGTAGTATTATCATCATGATGTATGTGGATCATCATGTTAAAAAAGTTTTACTTTTCATTTTTCTTCCAAAAGAAGTTACGACAATATTGTATTGCTGGATTGGTAATCAGTTATTTACCAAAGAAGCCGAAGAATTGACTGACCTTGTTCCTGAGACCGGTATCAGCCCCGTGCTGCAGCAGTATTTCCGCACACTTGGGGCGGCCCCGTGTAGCTGCGTCATGGAGGGGTGTGTCTTCCTGTTGGGGCATTGACAGTGCAATTTTTCATCCTTAGAATGATCAAATAGCACCCCTTTATAAATGTATATATTTACTTCACTAAGTGACTCCAAGCTCGCTTGAAACCATTCCCCAGCTTTACCTTTATACTGATTGTTTTAAATAGTTCCCCAACTTTACCTTTATACTGATTGTTTTAAATAATGGATAATAACGGTAGCACTATAATTTAAAGCTGACATTTTTGCAATATTTTTCAATTTCGGGTCTTAATCAGGTCATCGACCAGGTTATAGACAGATTAATGAGGTGAACAAAGCAAAATTTGTTGAATCCTTAACTAACACATCGTGGATGTCCGTTTTGGAAGAAACTGATACAGAAATGGCTTATAATATATTTCTTTCTATATTTTCCTCACATTTTGACAAATCATTTCCAATGAAAACTACCGAAATTGTCCAACATCCCCACAAAAAACCATGGTTAACCCGCTGTTTGCTTTGCAAACGTCTTTTGAACCACCCACAACGGCCGAAGTTTTAAACATAGAAATTTGAAAGATTCCGCTGCTGGTCACGACGGAATTAGTACTAAAATACTAAAAATTTCCCTACCTTATATTATACGCCCTCTTACTCATATATTGACTTTATCTATCCAGAACGGAGTGGTTCCTAAACCAACTAAAATTGCAAAAGTGATTCCTATATTTAAAAGCAATGATTCTACATTAGTTAGTAATTACCGCCCAATCTCAATCCTGCCCTGTATCTCGAAAATTTTGGAAAAACTTATATACAATCGACTTTTAAAACATCTAGACCAGAACGATATTCTGTACAAACATCACTACGGCTTTAGAAAGGGATACTCTACCTCGATGGCACTTATACAACTAATAGATAGAATAAATTCAGCTATTGATAACAATGAATATACTATTGGAATATTTTTAGACCTAAGTAAGGCTTTTGACACTGTTAATCATTTGATTCTTTAAAAAAAACTTAATATGGCATCAGAGAGGTTGCACTTAAGTGTTTTACTAGTTATTTATCCGATAGAAAAAAATACGTTGTTCTTAATGATAATTCTTCGTCCTGCAAACCTATAAATTGCGGAGTCCCCCAGGGATCGATTTTAGGGCCCCTCTTGTTTTTATTATGTGTAAACGACCTTGCTGAAGCATCCAAAATTATGTTCTTCATACTTTTTGCCGATGATACTAATCTCTTTCTTTCACATGTAGATTTTGATTCTCTAATCCAACTA